AGCCCCAGCCCTGCCTCCATCCTTACCCAGCCTAGTCAGGCAAATGGGGGATGGCAGGGGAACTCGGAAATGCACCAACCGCTTGGGTCAGGGATGTCAGGTGAGCAGGGGAGGGGTCTGAGCCTTGTGCCCCCAGCTGGTCCTCAGCAGGGGAGGGAGTTGGTGTGGGGGCACTGACCTCCCTCCCAGGATCTGGAACTGGTGCCCCCACCCCTGCAGTCTTACGTCAGTTTCTGCTAACTTGTTGGAACAAACAGGTCTGGTTGTCATGGTGATCATAATGGCTTTGGGGTGAAGGGATGAGACTGCAGTGGCTGTAAACAGGAAGTTGGGGGGGCACCTACCGACTGCCAGGGAGGGGGCCTAGCAGGGCCACTGCAGGGCCTCTAGCCCTTCAGACTAACCTCCTTTCTGCAGGGCTAGGTGGACCCTTGGAGACCTCATTCTTCTACAGACAGGGAAACTGAGGTCCAGACATAGGAAGGGGTTTCTCCGAGGCCACAACAATAGGCAGGGTCCCAAACTCAGGGCTGGGTCTCAGTTCCCCCAGGATAAGATAAATCCCCAGACCAGGAGTAGTATCGTGCATCAGTAACACTACCAACTCAGAGGCTGAGGCAAATGGATCAAAAATCCAAAGGAGCTAGGTGCGGTGGCACACTCCTGTAATCCCAGTGGTTTAGGAGGCTGAGACAGGAGGATCACAAGTTCAAAGCCAGCCTCAGCAATTTAGTGAGGCACTAGGCAACTCAGTGAGACCCTGCCTCTAAATAAAATTCAAAATAGGGCTGGGGATATGGCTCAATAGTTGAGTGCTTCTGAGTTCAATCCCTGGTACCTCCCCAAAAAATGTCCAAAGGAATTACTGGGTGCGATGGTGCATACCTGTAATCCTAGCTACTCTAGAGGCTGAGGCAGAAGGATTTCAAATTCAAACCTGCCTCAGCAACTTAGCTAGACCCTGTCTCTAATACAAAAAAGGGCTGCAGATGCAGCTCAGTAGTTGAGCTCCCCTGGGTTCAATCCCTTGCACCAATAAATAAATAAATAAATAAATTCTGGAGGCCCTAAGCAATTTAGTGAGAACCTGTCTCAAAATAAAAAATTTTAAAAAGGGGCAAAAGGGCTAGGGATGTACTCAGTGGTAGAATGTCCCAGGGTTCAATCCCCAGTATGTAAAAGCAAGTGATAATCATCACCCCCAGGGCTCTTCCCTCCACAGATTAGTTTAGCAGGGTGTTGAATGGATGAATGACATCCCATTCAGTGACCTATTCCTTCATTCTACCCTGATGGGGTCTGAGACCAGATCAGATGGACCTGGCCCTGATACTCCTGCTCCAGTACCTTCTCCACTGCCTGGTGCCTCTGTTACCCTTGTCTGTAAAAAGAGTTAACAGCTACACCCCTGAGGCTACTGGGGGATCTTGGTAGGCCTGTGTCTGCTGGAGTCTCCCCGCCCCCAGCAGGTGGGATAAGAACTGCAGAGTCCCACTCAGTTCCCAACTCTGTGGTTGGGGGTGGAAGCTCATCCTTGTGTTGTCTGGTGGCTGAGAAAGAGGACAGGAAGGCAAGTCCCCACCCTCCTTGTGCCTGGGCCCCAGACCCTGCTCTCATGCTCTCAGACCAGTGCCTACAGCTGCTGTGCTCTGAGGTGGGGGGCAGAGAGAGGCCATGCAGGTGCAGGACGGCCTCCATGCAGGTGTGTTGGGCCAAGGGGCACACCCTGCCTAGATGCCATTACTGCCCCAAGAATCCTYGCAGAAGCTGAGGTTTGCTCCTGTAGATCACTTACAAGCCTGGCTGTGTGCACACTCAGGGTCTCAGGCTGGAAAGGCTGAGGCAGTGTGAGAAAAGCACCAGGCTCAGGAAGGCCTGCCTGCTCCATGGCTGCTGAAGGGTACCCATGAGGGCTTCTCAAAGTCCAAGTGACCTGCTAATTATCACAGGGCCACCCTCTGGTGGCATCCCTTGGAATTACAGGCACAGCTCCCACAGTTAAAGCTTCTTCCACTGTCCCCTCCCTTCAGGGTCAGAGGCAGGGAAAGTGGGTCAGAGGCAGGGAAAGTGGGGCACCAAGAACCTTGGGTTATAGACAAAGGTCTCTAGCCAGGACCCTAGTTGTTGTGGGGCTGGAGGATCCTGAAGATTGCAGAAAAGAGGTGGCTGTGTGGTGGTCTGGCCCAGTCCTGGCCTTTTGCCCAAGGTGCTATCTCCTGGGCTGGGGGTCACCTGGGTCCATATCAGAAGCTCAGTGGGCATTCTCAGGTCTTGGTATCACGGTGGGTCTGCAGTTTGTGAGGAGCCCTGGGTGGGGGAAGAGAAGCAGACCAGCATAGGACCCTGTCAACTGAAAAACAAAGGATGTTTCTGGACAGAGTGCCTGTGAGGCCCTGCAGCAGASGGCCTGTGGAGCATGAGATCCTGGTGCCTGCTTGCAAGCAGTGCTGCTTCCCAGGAAGAGCTCATTCCTGCATTCAGCTCTTTATTGGGACCTAAAGGGGCAGAGGATGAGGAGACAGGAGACAGAGCTGAACATGGCACATGTGCACTGGGCTCCTCCATGCCCATCATCCTATGAAGAACGTGGGCTGCGGGAGCCTTTATCCTGCCCAAAGAGAGGACCCTTTTAAGGGCGTGGAAGAGGGGGCATCCTGAAGGAAGGACATAGATGGCTTGGCCTGGAAGGGCAAGGCCCAGTGAGATAAGCCTATCCCACGCATCCAGGAGTCTTGTTTGTCTCTTCCCCACAAGAGCTCAGATATGGCAGCCTCTGGACAAACAATCTTTGGGTCAGGCCAGAGGACAGGCAGAATGGATAGGGCCATTGGCTCCAGCCCTTTCCCATCAATGGTCCAAAGCCATGGTCACCATCATGGCCCGGTGGCTTCCTCAGAGGGGTCAGCAGTATCTGGAGGCCTCCAGAGGGGTTCCTTGCCCTGTGGAAGTCCCTAGCCCGCCCAGTATCAGGGGCAAGCTGAGGACCAGCTGCAGGGAACAGGTCCCCAAATCCAGAGCTTCTCAGGCCCCTCCCTGCTGTGACTGGCTCAGACTGGTTCCAGCAGGTCCAAGTCAGTGCTGGGTCCTCCAACCTGGCAGCTTGTTGCCATGGAGACCCCTGGGCTGGAGGCCTGCTGTCAGCAGCTCAGAGGCTGCAGAGGGAGCCCAGGTGGCCTGGGGATATGTCTATGGGGACAGGCATGATAACTGGACCAAGGCTTCGGTTAGACAGCCCAAGAAGGCAAAGGGGACCATCGCAGACCCTACCTAAGTCCTGGGAAGCAGCCATGTGCTGTGGTCAGGATCTCTGTGCCTCCCATAGCCTGGCTGACCCCAAGTCCCACGGGCTAGAGATGGAGGTCCAAACAGGATGCCATGGCCCAAATTCCTGTCCTGCCTACGGTCAGTTTCCCCTGGGAGGTGCCCTGGGGCCAGCTCTGTCTGCACTCACAATGGCCTGYCTGCAGGAATCCCTCCTGGCACGGCCAGTCCTGGACACACCAGAGTCCCAGAAGCCCTGTCATGGTCTGAGCCGAGAGCTCTCCCCTGCACACATGGGAACCTATAGTTTGGTGCACCCTCTCYGAGACCCACTCCAGGCAGCAGGGGAACAGCTCAAAATTCTAGGTCTCAGGGCCCAGAACAGTGTGGAGAGACTTGGGGACACAGGGCAGCCACCTTGGCTTGAGTGACATCACTGGCTGCTGAGGTCTGATTCTGGGGGCTGGAGGCCGTTGGGGGCCTTGCTGGGCAGGGTGAAAGATCAGAACAGGGCCCCGAGGAGGAGGGGAGTCCGCCTAAGAGGCTTTAAAGCCCAAGGGGATGGGTCAGGGCAGGAAAGGACAATCAGAGGGCCACAGTTTGTGGAAATGCTTTAATTCGAAGATTCTTGGATACAGTGGTTAGTCTGTTGCCCACGATTCCTTACTAGCATGGGCCTCATGCTGGGAACACCCTCCTCCCTCAGGTGAACACAGTTATCACATTGCATGTTCTCATGTTACGCGTCACATCTTTGTTAAGCCAAGGACCGTGGTACAGAAGGAACATTTCATAGCCGAAGTCACTACAATTTGCCAGAAACATCAGTTACTTTAGAATACTATAAAATATATTGAATTTCCATATATTAACCATATACATGTGTAACTATAACTAAATGTAGTCAGTTGTTACAAAATGACATTCCAGGAGCAGGCTACAAATGAGGGAGTGGAATTCCCCTGGCAAGGCCCTCTGTCTCATTAACTGCCAACCTGAGGACTCCAGTTCCAGGGCCCACTCCTTTCACCTGTTCCTTAGGTTCTGGGGGTCCCCCAATGCACTGGCCCTGCCCTCTTCGTGGATGCACTTGGTCTTCCAGGTGGGAGGGCAGAGTGGCTGCAGGCCTCAGCCAGATCTCAGAGCAGGACAATGGGCCATCTCTGCCTGCTGCATCTCCCTGTCCTGAGGGGCTTGCCTGACTAGCCCTGCCAGGCAGCTCAAGGTCATGGTTGGGGAGCAGCTCCTCCTCACTGGTGGCTCCAGTTCCTGCAGGATCAGTGGACAGCAGCACCTCAGGGCTTCCTGTGACAAGACACACCCAGGCCAWGGGCCCTTCAGGCTGCCAGGCTAGATGCAAGCTGGGCACAGGAGGGCCATGGCTTGAGGCTGCCTCCTGGGGGGGCCACAGCAGTCACAATCAGTTGGGAAGGRCAGATGCTGATCGCAGCTGGACTGAGCCACTGTGTCCTCCTTGGCGGCTGCAGCTGCACAGGCACCAGCTTTGGGTGGGAACACTTTACAAGGGTCTGGACACGACTCCGACTTCACCAGGTCTGCACTCCAGGGCCCAAAGATCCAGGGACAGGAGGATGGAACCTTGGACAGACCCCACATAGTCCTATCCAAACAACAGGACAAGATAGTGCCAGGGGCCTGAGCAAGGGCGCAGCCACTGGCTGGGGAGGCTGGGCACACCAGGTGCCCTCTCCCTGTAATGATGATAGTGCAACAGAGCCTTTATATAAACAGTTTATTTACTCTAAACAGCAACACAGACAAACGCCATATAAACACAAAGGAAGAGGTGCGGGTCGAGACGCTGCTGACTTTGGATAGGAGGCGCATTAGCAACAGCCAGGTTCTGAGAGAAGGGTGTGGGAGGGAGGGACAGGGACTTCCACACAGCCCGCTGGAGGCCGGGACAGCTCTGAACGGTGAAGCATGCCTGCATCCGAGCAAAGGAACTAGCTCCTAGGGGCTTACCCAAGTATAAAAGTTTATAATTTTACAGCAGTTGAAATACTGACATCAATATTAAAATAAAAGCAAGTTTTACATAACAATCAAAAATACAAAAGACTGAAGGAAGAGACCCTGTATGAAAAACTGGGGCAATTCAGCGAATTGAGAACTGTATGCCAGTGGCGGAAATGGAAGATGGCGCCCGCCCAACCCTCCCAGGCGACCGGTAACTGCACGCGCGACTTGAGATTTGCAAAAGGTGTAAACAAGTTCTTGCCAAACCAATCCCTTCCTTTTGCGGTGCCACAGGGTCGCTGTCTATGAGGGTGCAAACTTCTTGGCTTGTGCTCGAACCCTTTTCTCATATTCCACTCTGTTTTGGCTGAGGAGGTCAAAAGAGAAGAGATAAGTTAGAAGGCAACAGTGTGGCCCACCTCCCAGGCTGGAGGGCCACTCAGGCTGCCTGAAGAAGCCAGCACCCACCAAGCCACTGCAGGGCAGCAGTGGGGTGCAGCCTTGTGGCAGAAGGCGGGAAGGCTGCAGAGGCAGGGGAGCTGGGTGGGGAACCCACACTAGCTCCTGGATGGAGGGTGGGAGCAGGGAAGGAGGCCATCGAAAAGGGAGCAGCAGCAACCTCCATGTGGAGACTCCACAGCCAACCGGACCTCCATGCAGTAGGCAGAGAGGCCCCACAGGCAATGAGGGCTGCAGGAGGGGTGGGGGCAGGTGGCCTGCAACATAGTAATCTGTGCCAAATTCAGTTTTCTCTTCCTTTTCTGAAGAGTGCAGTAGTTGTTCACAAGTGCAACCCCATTACTGACCAGCATGGGCAGCCTGGTGGTCCCCCACTTGGRGAACATCGCCACATTGATGCTGAGCTTACTACATACACCAGATGAGCACACTGCATATAGCCTTGAACTCCAGGCCCAAGTGATCCTCCCACCTCGGCCTCCCAAGTAGCAGGGATTATAGTTCCACTGTACCTTAATCAGATGTTTGCAATTATTAGATAGCATTAAAAATTGTGGTCAAGAGACTGCTAAGCACTAGTTTTTGCTCCTCATTTCTAAAACTAGACACAAGCTTCTGGTGGGCTTTCCATGTAGCTCTCTGCTCAGACAAAGGTGCAGGAAGCAGCCTTGTGCAGAGTGCTGGAGCAGCCCAGGACATGGGCCAGCCTGCATGACCCACTTGGGCAAAACTGGCTGGCCAGGCAGACAACCCCACATCAGGAAGTAGTGTGACCTTGGCGACATTTGTGAAGCTAGACTCCTAGGGACAGGGATCTTAGCAATCTCATAACACTGGGAGCTGATTTGAGACCCCATGCCACGCCAGCTGTGTCTGAGTAAGTGAGCTTCCAGGGTGCTCCCCAAGAAACAGGTCTGGAGCTCTTCCCAGCCCTGCTCTTGGCCTGAGCCAGCCCCCAGCCTGCACGCAGCTCAGGCCCAAGGCTTTTCAGACATCCCCAGGGTTGATGACAGGCTCTGGCGGCAGGGCCAACCAGAAAGGCCCAATGCCCAGCACCAGTGCAGGCAAGGGCAGAAAATGAGGATGCGCATGCCAGTCCTGGGTGTGGGATGGGGAACAGTTCAATAGGAAGGTGATGGGCCCAGGGCAGCAGCCCAGCAGTGCAGGACCCACCAGGTGCCCTCACCTGCTCTGCTGTTCACCAAGCGAGGCTGGGTGATGAGGCCCCTGCCCAGCAAGCCAGCCTGCTGGAACCTGGGAAGGGACCTGAAACTTTCAGGATATTTCGCCAAAGGTGCTTTTGGGGTGGACGGTGTCACAGAGACCTTGCTCAGGTGAGAGAAAGCGCACACAGCAAGCCAGCAGCACGAGCCCCAGGGACACAGGACACGGGGCCACACAGCACAGCCGCAGGCCTCCACGGAGGGGACACGCAGCGCACCCACAACAGGCACGCACCCTCCACCAGCAAGAGGCCAGCCACAGCCAGACAGCTGGGCTYGTTGACAGTGGCAGCACAAACGGACAGAGGCCATCCCAGAGGCTCCAGGGCACTRCCTGGAGGCCATCAGGGAGGGAGACACATAGCACCTGGCCATACACCCAGTGAGAAGCACATTTCTCAAGAACCAGCACATTCCCCTCCTGACCAGCTCCAATTCAGGAAATGCCCTTGGAAGGAACAGACTACTAGTGATAGGGGTCAGAGCCCCTCTGGGTCCCAAGCAAGAGGGACACAGGGGGATGCTGCTCTCAGAAAGCCCTCCACTCCGTTCCTCTTGGTGAGGGTGCCCATGCTAGACCAGCTGGGGGTCTGAGACTGTGGATGGAGCTCTCAGGGGCYAGGGGGCCCTAGACACCAGAAATGTGGCCCCTGCTGAGGGCAAAGGTCTTTCTTGCTGGTAGACCCAATCACACCAGGCCCTGATCCCTCAGCAGACAAGGCAGGACCCAGGGACCCCACCATGACAGCACCACAGGAAAACGTGGTGGAAGCCAGGACTGTGCGAGGCTGTCACTGAGCAGCTCCCCTGCGCTGGGACACAATCCCCAGAGGAGCTGCGACAGTGACAGGGTGTGCTGTGCTAGGAGACACTGTCTCCCAGGCCCACAGGAGCTCATGCCACCCCACTCTAGYGCCTGCCTCCAGGCCGAGCAGTGCCTGGCCCCACCAGCCCTGGCTGCTGTGCTCCCTCCCRATGGCCCCTGCACATGCAGCTCAGCCATCAACAGGGCTGGCAATGGACATATGCCACACCCTGCACATAGACCTAGCCACCCCGAGTGGCCATCCCATCCTCCCCTCTGTGGCACCACTCTGGGCTGCCGGCAGCACCCAGCTCTCCTTCCGAAAGACGGCCTGGACTGCACTTCAGGGAAGGCCTGCAGCCAGCAGGCCAGTTACTACTAACCAGTAAATCGTGTAGGCCTCTGCTTGAGCGGGGTCTTGGATATTTGGTTCATTTAGAAGTTCCTGTATTCCTAATAAGATCTGTGCAAGACAAAAACAAGAGGGCACAGTGCGTTCAGTGGCTAGACAGGTGGTCTTTGCCAGGATGAGCCCAACAGGCCCGGCCAGCCCACATACCTGCTTGATCGTGATGGCTGGCCTCCAGTCCTTGTCCTCCTCCAGAATGGACAGACACACAGTACCAGAAGGGTACACATTTGGGTGAAACAGCGGTGGCTCAAATTTACCTGGATGAAGGGGAAGGAAGGAATCACTGTTGGGAGGCAACTCTTAGCTTCCCCACTGCCCTCCTCCCCGGTGCTGGGCCTTTCAGGGAGAGAAGCGAGGCCAGGAGTGCAGCACACACATTTCCTTCTCAGAAACCCGGCCTGAAGAATGTGACATCTCTCCCAGGGCAGGAACTCCAGGGACRGCAGACAGCCAGGAGCGGGCCAGGCCAGCTCAGCCCAGGGCCCCCTCCAGAGAGGACTTGGGAAGGTGTGGAGTGAAGAGGCACAGTAGCAGGTGAGGGCGGACAGCTGGAGCTCTCCCCATTTTCTTCAACCCCCCACCACACCCCCAAAACAGGGAAGAGGAAAGCCTGCTGGTTGTGGCGCTTCAGGGCATCTCATCTTTCCTCTGGGCAACCTGCTTCTGGTTTTCTGTATTTTATGATTTGACCACACCCAGAGTGCAAGTGCAGCCTGGTCAGTCGCTGGAGAGGAGCAACCCACCAGCACCCAGGAATGCAGCGGGTACCCACCCAATGCTGCTCTCGCCAGCCAGGCCCTCCTGCCTGCAGGTGGCTTCCTGGGCCTTCTGCCTTCGGCCACAGTGCACGTGAGCAGGTGGGGCTATGGAGGCGGTAGGCTGCAGAGAAGGAGGTTTGTGCTGCTCCACTGAGTAAGGCTGCTGTGCTGGGCGTGAACTCTGGTGTGCGCAGGCACAGGGCCAGGGCAGCACCAACAGGAGTTGCCAATACCAGGCCTCTGGGTGCCCCTTCGCCTCCCCTGAGCTGCAGAGGCAGAGCCCCTTTCTTGGGTCGCCATTCGCTGGCTGCTCCCGAGTTCTTGTTCCACCTCCCACTGCCTGGTAGTACCTCCTCACACACTCTGGACACAGACCTTCCTCACCCCTATGTCTTGGGAACCCTGTGGGCTTGCCTTCCTGTTCCTTTAATGTACCTTATTGCAAACTAAATGCCTAATTTTAATTTAATCTGATTTACCAACCTCGTTACTTCTATCAACAACTTGCATGGAGAAAGAATGCACACCACGAATACCAGCCCCCTGCCCCTGGTTGGCTTCCCTCCAAACTCAGCAGTTGTCCTCCTGACTTTTGACTCACAAGGAGCAGGGCCTGTTGTTGAATCCTACAGAGAGGATATAGCCCTGTGTGCAAGGTTAATAGCCCCTCCATGCCACTACCAATGCACACCTGGCCCATCTCCAGCTCTGGTTATTACAGATGGGGCTGCCTGGGTCTCCTGAGGCCTCCCTCTGTGAACACACACGCTCCTGGGTATCCTCCAACTCGGAGTATCCAGGTTTAGCTCCAATGGTCGTGGCAGACAGCCTTCCAAAGAGAAGCTCTCAAACAAGCTCGTGAGGTATCTTACTGCCCGGCACCTTGCCGCATCTGCCCTTCTCTGTAAGACATCCAACCAAGATGCTGCCTCTCCTCTCCGGTGATGAGCAGCTGGATTTCCCTGTGTGGACTGGCCAACTAGACAGCTCTGGACAGCTCTTCTGTGAAGGGCTTGCTCCACCTCGTGGTGGTTTGCCTTCTTTGTGATCTGTAGAGTTCTTCTCTTTTCTTTCTCACAGGACCTTGCAGCAATGGGGATGGAACCCAGGGCCTCAACCATGCTAGGCAAGCTCTACCAAGCTGCCCTGTCCCATCTTCTCTGGGGTTTGCTCCTCTCCCTGTATCTCCTGATGAAGAGTCTTCAGGCCAGTCCAGCTGGCTGATCCCCAAGGGCCAGTGTTCTGTGCTTTCCTGGGTGCTCTCGTTGATCCCTGATCAGAAGACGGCCTCTGTGCCTCCTTGCCTCCCCTTCTGCTGGCGCTGTGAAGCAGGCAGGGTCATCCACAAAGAAGGAGACAGCTCTCTTATCCACTGGTCATCCCTGAGGCCAGACCCACTACACCTAAAACACACTACACGGCCTTTCTGGTCCACCCACTCTTCTGTGGGTCTGCCTGCCTGTCCTCACACCTGTCCCAATGTAGACTTCCATGCCCTGAGGCAAGTCTCAGTATCTGATGAATGGCATCTGGCCCATCCATTGACAGGTCTGGGCACCCTCTGCCCTGAGAGCCTCAACCTGGGTCTCATGACATCCCCAGGACTGCACGAGCCCTGACCATTCCTGCCCTCTGCATTTCCATATGCACTTTGAGCCTGCTGGACTCTGGGGACTGCATGACATGTGCAGAGCAGCCAGGGATRTGGTTGCATTCCCAGAGTTGAGCCCTCTGGGCCACACAGCAGAGCCTGCTGACTGTCTAGCTGTCTTTTGCTTCTTCCAGAAAGGCCTTGGTTTCCAGCTAGAGACCTCACCACACCTGGTGGGATTCACTTCAAGGCATCAGATGCTATTGCAGATGGCTTAGTTTTACACATTCATGAGCTGCAATTCTATGGAAATAGGTTTCAGCAGGTTAATTGTTTGGCAGCAACCCTCCCAAGCAGCTGGTGACCTGGACGCTTCTTCCCAGGTCTCCTAGGGGGCTTTTCCCACCTTGATGCATTTGCTTGGATTTTGCAGCAGGGTATCAAATGAAATGGCTATGTCTGTCTCATTTTTAGGTATTTTCCCCTCTTAATTAAAAGAAATCATTACAAAGTAACTGTGCCCAACAAAAGGAATCCAAAAGGCTGAAGACAACCTAAAACAAAGTTAAGTCTCCACTTGGTGTTCTGTTAATAGTTAATTTTGAAGCTTTTCTGTGGGGCTGAGAATGTAGAAGACTTCTCTCAGCAAAGCTCACACCCAGAGCTTCCCCTCTGGGCCAGGGCTCTTCCCAGCACCCACTGGCCATGCTATACATGGGTATCTAGCCACAGGAGCAGGACTGATGACCCCTCCCCCTCAGGTCTTGCCTAACTGCATCCAGATAATTTTCCAGTGGCCACCATTTTAAACTCAGCTCAGGCTTCTCTGAGCAGCAGTTTGAGTGCTCTGTCACTCAGGCTGCAGACAGCCACATGAACCCTAACAGACAACAGCTGGGTGGCAGCAGACTGGGTTAGGGTGTGATTCTGAGCCCTGATCTTGTTGTATGCCTGTCCCCACCAGGGCTGGAGTGCCTGTGGGCACAAAGTGAAGATCCTCAAAGCTGACAGCCACAGAGGGTGCAGGCAGCCCGGGCCTGGGAGCTTCCCCACTGATCAGCTGGGATCAGAGACTAAGCCGATCATACGCACTTTCCACCCCAGGACTGGACAGACTCAAATCTACAACCTGCACAGGAGACTTAGGCTGACTCCACCAGAGCTGCTTTGATCTCCCACACTGCACCACAGCACCGGGGCGGGGTGGCAGCCACCATGGCTCGGGCAGCCCAAGACTCTGAAGACGACCACAGGTCTCTGTAGGAACTCACATTTCGGTGGTGAGGATGGATAATCATCTTTGAAGAGCATCCGCAGCTTGAACAAGCCTCCTTCCCACGGAGTCTGTGGGGAAGTGATCGTGATTAGGTGTGCCGCTTGTGTGCAGCAGGCAGACCCAGGAGGGCTGGTTTCCTCATCTCACCAGCTCCCGGGGGCCAGAGACCCAACACCCTCAGTGGCATTGTGGAGACTTGCTCTGAACCAGTGGGAGGGCTGGAAAGGAGCAAGGGCAGCAGCTGGGCTCTACAGAAGGCAGGGGCCCTCAGAGAAGTCAGGATCCACAGCTCATGGGCTGCTCTAGGACATCAAAGAGCTCAGGTACTGCAGGACATGTGCAGAGCAGCTGGGGGCATAGCTGTATTCCCAGTGTTGAGCCCTGAGAATCTGGGCCCAGCAGCTTGCATCCCCAACCTCAGATTCTTCAAGCCACCTGCCTTACATCTGGCCTGGACAGGGACTAGTAGTGCTGACCCACAGCCAGAAACCCCTCCCAACCTGGAATCATGGGGAGCACCAGGGTATACCTCCTACCCCAACACAACAGGCAAGGGACATTCTCAACAAAGGCTGGGGATTCCACCTGTACCACTCAAGAGAGCCACACACAAATGGACCAAACACATCTCTGTTCAGGAAAACAAAATCCTACTAGAGATAGCTTTGCTCAACTCAAGGGGACGAATTCTGGGTGGTAAGCACCCCCAACCCCCGGCACAGTCCAAGTACCTCAGGGGTTCACAAGTGCTGTGTGTGTGGATGGCCATTAGAGTCATGGGAGGCCCTCACACCCAGATCTCCATCTGACACACAATGAGGACAGACAACGAGCTCAGGGACACCCAGGTGAGCCGAGGCCACCACCCAAGTTCTGCATGCGAGGGAACRCTCCAGGAGTGCACGCATGAGATGGGCTCATCCTGCCCTTGGGGTCCCATGTACCTCACCACATCCTGAGGGACGGGCCAGAGCCTAGTGCTCAGCCAGCTCCCAGAAGCTCCTCACCATGCTCTCACATGGGCCCTGGCCTGGCCCCYGGGCCTGTCCTCCAACATGATGCCCTAGGAGGTTCTTTGTGCTCCCCACAACCCAATGGGTCTGACCATTCCCCACAGCTATGCCCACTCCAAACCTAGCCAGTGGCTACTTCCTTCTGATCTCATGTCCCCTCTGGACTGAGGACGGGCCAGAGCTATGGATATGACTGGCAGGCCCACAATGCTGAGGGCTGTGGGCCCCCACAGAGGGTGAACACCTAAACCTGAGTCCCTTCTGGAAGTTCTGCTCCTGCTAAAAACCAGGACCAAGTCCTCAAGCAGCTCTTACCCCCTTCTTTCCTGGGATAGCACATTCCCAGTTCATCAGGTTCATCGTGCCATCTGGGTTCTTAGTTGGGACAGCCACAAAGCCCTGGGAGAAAACAGCCACAGAACCAAGTCAGCACCATGGGCCCTTCTCATCAGCACAAAAGACCAACTGCAAAACCCCACCCAGTGGCCACAAGCAGGCCACAAGACCACATGCAGGGACCTCAGGGCAATGAGGACCGTGCCCTGGGCAGCAGAGAAACAGAGTCCTTACAAAAGGATGGTCCTTCCTCCAAGCTTTTCTCTCCTGGGCGAGTCTGCTGAGGGCGATCCCCGACATGTTCAAAGTCCCTGCAATAGACGAGACACACCACAGGGTTAGCAAAAGCAAACCTCAGGTCCTCTGCACCTCCCAGCACACTGGCAAGAGTCGGCAAGCCATGTCCAAGGAGCAACTGACCAAGGCTCTGACCCAGTCCAGCAGGATGTCTCCTCTGCAAGCTACCCCCAATATACTCAGCATCACACTCTCCATATTCACCAGGATGCTACTAGGTGGGCAAGTAGTGCAATAKTGCTGTGCCCCTTCCCCAGGGCACTTTTGGAAAGAGAAGGAGGTCTAAGGCCATAGCTCTGCTCTGCCCACAGGACACACACTCCCCAGCAGACACAGAGCACACCGGTCCTCCTTCTGTCCCCCATTCCACTTTGGGACTCCCAGGAAAATGGTAGGGTTGGCAGGGATACCCACAGTATCACCTGAAGACTCATGGTACAGAGATGGGGCCCTCTCCTCATGATGCACTAGATGTGGGGGGCTGCTGGGACCCCAGCTTAGCTCAGACCTGGCCAAGAGGACAAGCCATTTCAGCATGCCAGTCTACCTGCCCTCCTGCAGCCTTGCCTGCCCAAAGTGTGCTGACTACCTGTCTGGAAGTCTGCCCCAGGACCCTGTGCAACAGATGGTCCCAAGGGAGTGCTTGCCTGTACTGCTCAGCGTCTGTCCTTCAGCACACCAGGACACACAGGGCCTCCAAGGCCCTAACCCCAYCTGGCTGCCACCTGCTTCCTCTACCACACAAGTCAGGACTCAGCTACTGCCAAGCTTGCCAGAACACTGGAACCTAAGGTCTTCAAAGCCATTGGGAGCCCAACACTCCAAACACATACCAAAGCATTAAGCGATGCTCTCAAAAGACCAGAGCATTTCCCTGAAGTGGCCCACACTGAGGGTCATGGGGTGGGGTGGAGAGCAGCCTCCCCTGTCCTAGAGAGAAAAGGCCCACACTGAGATGAACCTTGGCCCTTAGCAACCCACTCGTGGGATTGTGCTGGGCTGAAAACACCCATCTCCCTCTAGGCCAACCCCAAAGTCCCCTTGTGGCTGGGCCCAGCTTCAACACAGCTGTGAAGCACTGAGAAAGGGCATACAGACCCCTGCCCAAGGCACAGTCTCAACTCAAACCAGCCTGATTTGTGGTAGGAGCTTCCCACTGCAGCCTCTGGCTGGCCCCCACCTTCCACTCTCTTCCTCTGGCTCCTCTGATGCCCTCAACTCAGGCCACCCACTTTGCCCACAAGGCYACAAATATCTTAGCAATCAAACCCTTTGCCCAGCACAAGCCCAGGCAGCCTCCCACCTCCCCAAATCACYCACACTGCCACAAACCCCACTGGCTGGTCCAGCAACATAACCAGGAGCCCCTCACTACCCTTGGAGCACAGCTGTTCTTAATGTGGCCCCACAAGCAGTACCACCTGGAAAGCAAGCCCACTGAGCTCTGGGTGGAGTTCTACACTGGGGTTTTAGGTGGCATTGGGAGAGGGCTGCTTAAGATTTTAAACCCAAGGGTATTTCACCACTGAGCCACATCCACATCCCTTTTTAAAAATTTTACTTTAAGACAAGGTTTCCCTAAGTTGCCTAAGCTGGCCTTGAACTTAGAATCCTCCTGCGTCAGCCTCCAGAGTTGCTGGGATCACAGGTGTGCATCACTGAGCCCAGTTCTTAGATGACTTCTGACACTCTAACCATATAGGCAAAGAAGGGGGGTTGGGAGCCACTAGAGGCCACCAGGTGGCCTTCAGCATCACTCCAAGTGCCCAGGGTTCAGGAAGCTGGTTAGGGTCACCACAAACTACCAACAGGGCACAGGCATWTTTTAGTGGTCATGTGCACTTGGGTCTCATAAGAAAGAAGGGTAGGCCCCTAGGGCAAGAGGAGGCCACAGTGGCCACTGGCTCCAACACCTGAGCCCAGAGCACATAGTTGAAGGCTCCTACCTTTCCTGGCCTCAAGATTAAATCCATAATAGGCACACCAGGCTCAGACCCAAATCAGAACTGTCCTTCACCACCACAGAGTGTTTGTATGCCAACTCCTCCCTCCAGAGCAGGACAATACCGTCTATGAACAACCATGGATGCTAGGTCTGCCATAAAGGCCCCCCACCCCCTCAATGGAACATTTCCCCCTTCAGGACACTCAGGATTGGGGTGGCAGTGGCATTCTTGTAAGCAAAGGGGAGACAGACACAGATGAGGAAGTGTGAAGATGGAGAGCACCTGTCAGAGAGCCTGCTTAGGAGGGCATGAGGGACAGAGGAGGAGCAGGGATGGTGGGAGCAAATCAAGGGTCTGACAGCTGCCAGGACTCCATCACAGGACACCTCTCTGGCTCCCAGGACAGGACAAAGGAACCCACAGAGGCACCTATCCCAGTACCCAACTGTGATAGTCATTGGTGTGAAGGCATTGAGGGGTGGTCCAATGAGATTGGCTGTGCTTCTTCCCAAGGCCTGGCTGCCTCTTTAATGTCCTCTGCCCCAGAGCACCCTGACATCAGGGGTGGGCCCACGGGAGTTACTGACCCAAATGAGGCCTGGTTCCCAAGACAGGGAGTTCCATTCCTGCTGGCCTCCTGGTGTCCAGGAGAAAGCACCCAATCTGTCACAGAGCAAATCTGTTCATTCAAACTCCCACTTAAACTCAGACCTGTCTCCCCAAATTAACAGCATCACTTGATGAGCAGCAAATGTTATTAACTATATAGAGCAGGAAAGTTTTCTGAGACAAAGACAAAAATAACCCAGAACTATCAAAGACCAAGCAAGGCACAAAACCCATGCAGTGTGGGGAGATGAGAGCTCTGCCCTCATCTCTCCTGGAGCTCTCACAGTGGACTGCGGGGAAAGCAGAGCTACTTACAGGCTGAGTAAGGTGCTTACCTCCCCCAGACTCCACCTGCCCGCGTGTAACAAGGGCTCGTAGTACTATGGCATGCACGGAGAAACCTCTGGCGGCGGCTCTCCATCCAGACGCACTTCTGCATGCACCATGCACTCTGCCCTCAGGCCCAGCCACATCAGATCTGTCCCAGGACCCAAGCTATTTCTGGAGCAAGGTTCCAAAACCCGAGAGGAGCCAGACACCCATCACTCCAAACCCCAGAAAGAGGACCTCTATGGAAGCACATCGTAAATTTCGGCTCTATGCCAGTTTCCTGTTGGTTCGCTACAGCACCAACCCTCTAACGTACACAGGAATGACCAACAAAACCCTAAAGACAGGTTCGGCAATTCCCCAGAGGGAGGAACTAAGCTTTGGCTCCAAGGATACAAACTAAGGCAGCTGCTGTACCGCCAGGTGCGCAGGTCGACGCGGCCCACTGACCACGGCCTTACCAGAGTCCCGCTCACCCAACTACCAGTGTCCACCTCCGTCCAGCAGCCCCGCGGATACTAAGGGGGATGCCGGGAAACTACAGCTCGTCTGATGTCGGGACGTCGGGTCAGAGCACACCCCGTGGACCGCGACGCAAACCCGGGTGGCCCAGAACCGCAGGGCGGGCGGGAAGGAGGCCGTGGGCGGGGAGAGGCAGCGGCCCGTGACCCCGGCGGCAGCGGGAGGCCGCGACCTGGGGGAAGGAGGCCGCATCTGGAGGAAGATCGCGGACGAGGAGGCAGGGAGGCCGCGTTGGGAGTTCGCGGACAGAGAGGCAGAGAGACCGCCGGGGGAAGGAGGTGGTGGACAGGGAGGCCCCGGCGGGAGGGAGTTCGCCGACGGGGAGGCCGCGGCGGGCTCGGCACTCGGCGGCCGAAGGGGGCGCGGGCCGGCGGCGGCGGCAGGGCCGGGCGGCGCTCACCTGGGCGGCCGCGGCCCGGCGCGTCGCGGCGGCAGAGGCGGCGGCGTTCCCTTTGTCTCGGGACTTCCCTCCGCGCCCGCCGCGCGCAGCCCCGAGCGCAGGACCCCGGCGGGCGGGGCGGGGCGGGGCCTGAGCCGGGCTGCCCGCCGCGCGCCTGCCCCGCGCGCCACCGCCGCCGCCCCGCGCCCCGCACCGCCCTTGTCGTCGCGAGTCTCTTGTCGCCCGCGCCCCGCCGCCGCGCTCCCGCCGTCCGGGGCCGCACGGGAAGTCCGCGCAGGGGCCGCCTCTCTCGGCAGGCGGCGCCACGGACGCCCGTACCCTTAAAGGAGCCGCGTCCCCGGCGCGAGGGAGCGTCTGCAAACTCCCCTTCGGAGTGCGTGCGTCCACTCGAGGACACACCGGCGAGCCGTRGGGGGAGCTGAAGGCCGAGACCCCCAAGGGCTGCCCGGATGCCCGGCGGGCACCTCCCGGGGCAYGGGCCTCGGAGGTCTCCTTGGGGTCAGGGCCCGGACCCGGGGGACAACGACCGCTGAGGCCTAAGTATCCCCCGAATCGTCGCAGGACGGTGACGATCCCCGGAGCTCAGTGCCCTGTGACATGCCTTGCAATTGGCCAGCTCGGGGCGATGGGTGGGGCATTCCGCGAATCCACCCAATGAGCTGAGCCCGTACAAAAGCCCGAACAAACGCACACCGACGGGCGGAGACGTGTGAACGGTCCCTAACCCGCTGTCTGCCCCGGGTGGGGGAGGGGCGCGTCCACAGGGACCCTTCCCGCTCCGCGCCTCGAGTCCGCCCGAGCCTTCCTTGGCTCTGCTGACCAGCCGCTCACGTCCAATGGGCGGCCGCCGCGTGCGGGACATCCCGGCCCCTGGGAGTCGGCTGGGCGCAGGACGCCCGTAGGGACAAGTGTCTGAGCCCCGCCAGGATCAGCTCGGCACCAGACTCCTGGGATGGCTGAGACGGAGATGTGCTCCCGGACAGCGGGAGCGGCCTGCCTCCGCTGCTTCCATTCATTCACTCCCGCCTCCTTCCTCCCCGCTGTCTTCCCTCTTAACTTACTCGCTCACTCTCTTCCTTTCTTCCGTCTCTCCTTGCTCTTCTCCTTCTCCTTTCTCTATCCCCGTCCCTTCTCCCTCCCTCCTCGTGGTCTCCTTCCCTATCCCTCTCCTTCCTTCCCCAGAGTTCCCAGGGCATGGACCACGGGTCCCTTGTCCGCTGGTTCACCTCTGGCCCAGTGCTCACTCTCATGAGCCATCTGTGCAGGGCTCCCCTGTGCTCCCAGCCATCCTGTAGATCTTGTGGGTCTCTGCCGGGCTGGAAGGAGAGTTGGGGCCAGAAGAGGGATTAARTCGGTCTGCTCCCTGCCCTCCCCCACAAATGGAAGGCTTCCAAGTCTCTCCCAGACTGAGCTAGGTCCCTGGATGGGCCTGGCCTGGGGACTGTCCCTTCAGCAGGTTGACTGCAACACCCCTTCCAGTCTCTGGGCCCTTGGGCCTGAGTGGACCTGCATTTCTAACATGCACCACATTTGAGCCTGTCCTGGGCTAGTGTCTGTGGGGCTTTCTGGAGGGAAAGTGAGGGTCCAGCACCAACTGTAGTCAAAGAGAGGGCAGGGTTGGTTTGGGGGGTCATGAGGGATGTAGTTTGGGGAGGTAGACTGGACATGGTGAGTGATTGTGGAGGGCCTAGACCTGATCCTATGGTCCATGAGGAGCCATAGAATGTTATGGAGCAGGAGAAGCAAGTCAAGGCTCTGGTTCCTGTTCTGTGTGTGGTAAGGGGATAGAAGAGATACTGGCCCTCAGCTCTGGTTACTGAGTTCCAGACAGCATAGAGAACTCTTTTCCTTATGGACAATGGTGTGAGGCCCAAAGACCCTCATGCTGCRAGGGATGTGGAGACTGGTGGGAGAGAGGAAGGGGTGTTGGGCTGGAGGAGGGCAGGGGGCCACCTTAGATATGGGATCCTCAGCCTTTGGTGAGCACCTGTACCCTGCACACACATTCTCAGAGGACAAGGGACTTGATTCGGGGAAACATCAGTGGGGTGTGTATGTGAGGAGTTTGTGCAGAATCAGTGGGTGTAAAGTCCTGGGGAGGGTTCTAGCTACTGCACCTGCCCTTGGCCTAATCCCCTTGGGAGGGGCACAGTGAGTGTGGGCTGCCTGGAAGAGGGGCAGGACCCCCTCCCCTGGGTGTTTCTTCCCAGGCAGTTGGGACAGGGTTTTGCACCCACCCACAGGGTTCTGAGMAGGGTCTGGCTTCAACAAAGAAGATCCACATGCAGGAGAGTGAATTTTTTTTTTAATATTTATTTTTTTGGTGTAGATGGACACAACACAATGCCTTTATTATTTTTTTATGTGGTGCTGAGGATCRAACCCGGGTCCCGCCCTTGCTAGGTGAGCACTCTACCACTGAGCCACAATCCCAGCCCCAGGAGAGTGAAATTGGACCCTTACACCACACGGAAAAACCAGCTCAAAGTAGAAGAAGATGGCACTGAAAGCCCAGGCAACAGGCAAAGCTAGATACATTGGATTTCAACAAAATGAAAAATGGGTGCATGAGAAACATGGTGCAGAGAGGATCCATTTGCAAACTTGTTGTCATCTGATAACACATTAATATCCAGAACATGCACAGAGCTGCAGCCCCACAAGAACAACATTGCCCCTCTCCACGCCAGATCCAGATCCTCCTGCTCCCATGAGGGYTACACCCCTGTCCTGCAGCCCCACCTGGCCAGGCCAACTTTCAGAAGATATAACAGGTAGCTATGACCCTGGCCCTATGGTGCCTTCTCAGAGGGAAGCCTCTAACCCCAGTGGGCTGGGCCCTCTATCTCTGTCCTTGTAACATCCTAAGCAGGGAGGCTGGCCAGGCTGAAGGTGCAATATCCCCTTCCTTCCAYGTAGAGACAAGTAACCTCCCCATTCATCACAAGTATCACTGGGCCCAGAGAGCAGGTACAATGTCCAGAGTGCCCTCGGTTTGCCCAAGGACTCTGTGCCCTAACCCCCTCCCACCCCCAAACATGCTCATCACTATTAAACTGCCAAGTCGCCAGTGTTGCTGAAGAATGGTGAGGATCAGGCTGGGTGCTCAGAACCTGGCTGTGGTCCTGCCTTGGACTCTGTGTCCACCACAGATGTCTCTAGTTCTGTTCAGTCTTGGCTAACAGAGAACTGAGAAGCTGGAGTGAGAAACAGCTGGCTGGCTGGGGCACGGCAGAGGAAAAGGGGTCACCTGCAAGAGTTGGGAGGTCCTCCACTCCCTTGCAGGAGGCCCTGGGCACTGATTTTGTCTGGTTCAGAGCTGTGCGTCTTTGCATCCTCCTCAGCTGACCAAGAGCATCCTCGTGTGTGGGGTGTGACCCCCTGTCTGCTCCTACCTGGCCAGCCTTTCATTCATTCCCTGCCCAAGTACTGAGCTCAGGCCAAGCCCGGGTTTGTGTTCTTTTAGGGTTGAGGACAGTTTGCTRCCCAGCGCTCCTTCAGGAGAATGGGAGAAGGCTGTGCATGTGTCCCTTCCCTGTACATCCACAGCCCTGTACCCTGCCAGAGCCTTGGCCCAGCCTCTTTCCTGCAGCCCTCAGATGACTCCCAGGTCCCTGCACTTCTGCCCACTCCTACCTCCTCGCATTTGCTTGTGTTGTCCCCTCCACCTGCATGCCCTCCCTTACTCAAATGACAGCCTGGTGGCTCTGTGACACCTCTCTCAGCCTCTGTACTTTGGTGGAAAGCAGACAGTGGGGCCATTGGAGGATGGAGGTAACGAGGTCTGCAGGGGCCAGGGTCAGAGCTCTTTTGAGGCACACTGGGTTCTGGGTGCTGAGAGACACTGCTGACAGCATAGACCTGGGTGGGCTCGCAGTGCAGGTGCCCAGGCTTGGATGAAGGGACATCCAGGAGCCAGTCGGTTTGGCTCTCAGAGGGCACCCAGAGCCCAACAGAGGAGCCTGCAAAGGAGCAGACATACTCTCAAGGGGAAGGAAACCACGGAGATTTGTCAAAGGAACCGCTTGAGGCATTTTCCAGGACTGAATGACCAGTTGGGCAAGGGCTCCTGGGGAGGGCTAGCAAAGCAGTGCCTGATGACCACCCACGTGTCATGCTCAGAGGATGCTTGCAGCTTCCGCTCTCTGCCGCGCCCCTGGTGGCCYCATCCGGGCTAGGTGGGGCTGGAGTGGACGACGGGGCCAACAGGGCCTTGGGAGCTCTGCGCCGAGCCAGCGAAGACCCTTCCAAGGACACCGGGTGTCTGAGACCGGAGCCGCACCTGCAGAGTGGGCTGTGGTCCTGTTGGGACGCGGAGGACAGGCCGCGGGCACTGACCAGTGGCTAATATTTCCAGTGAATGGCCATGGACCTGCAGTCATTTCTCTTGATCACACGGGGGCGCTGTGCCACAGCCCTGGGGAGGGGCGGGGCCGGGGCGTGGCTGCAGGTCGCACCTATTCCCCTGATGCAGTGCAGGTAACCCTGGGCTCGCGATTTATAGGCGCTGTAGATTCCCTGCAAGGCCGACATTTTAAACTTAAGCTTCTTAAGTGGACTTAAGAGACTACAGAAATGGCTTATACTTTTGCACAGATAAATGCGTGTGTGCACACATGCTCGCTCAGTGCMGCCGTTGGGGGGTGCAGTCTGTCTGGATCATTTGTTAACCTTGGGAGGGACAGGTGGCTCAGCTCTCTGGGCCATGTTCTTCTCAGCTCCAGGAAAGCAGGGACATTAATGTACTCTCAGTTCCAGGAGCAGTAGCTGGCACGTGTTGGGTGGTCAGTAATGATTTGTGGAACGAATTAACCAGCCAGTGCCTCACTGGACATTAACTAAAGATGGGTGGACTGAGTTGGTTGGATTAGACCAGAAGCTTGAAATGAAAATGGTGGGGCTGGGATTGTGGCTSAGCCGTAGAGCACTCCCCTAGCACGGGTGCGACCCGGGTTCGATTCTCAGCACCACATAAAAATAAAGGCATTGTGTTAAAAAAAAAAAGAAAAGAAAATGGAAATGGGTTTATGAATATGGAAAGTGAATTTTCACCTTTGCACCACCCTTACAGACTCAGGCCATGGTCCCATCTGTACACTTGGGCTCCAGTATTGCAGTGTCTCTCTGTCCCACACAGGGGWCAGGGGTGAGAGTAGCCCTGGAGAGGGAATTAGGAGCTGGGCAGCCAGCTGGGCTGTAGAAGAAGGGGAGGGACCCCTGGTGGACAGACAGAGGGAGCACTGGAAGAGAGGTGGTTCACTGGTGTCTCAGTCCCACCTGACCCAAGACCCAGAGGGAAGGAGCCAGGGAAAGGCTCCCAGTGTTGAGATACAGTGCTCAGAATTTCTCACATTCCAWAGTGGTACTGAGTCAGCTCAGCTGCCCTCCCCTCCTCTGTAGTGCTCCCAGGTGAGAACCTGATGTAGCCRACATCCACAAATGTGGCTAAATTCTCTTTCAGGTGACTG